CTTCGTGTGTTTTCAAAACTGTTGCTTCTTTGTCGCTGCCAATTCTCTCATAGGGCGTGTCACACACTGTAGCATTAAGTAGCACCGTTAGATGTGGCCCTAGTCTGACGTCCTCCGCATGGCATCCGATAATCAAAAGCCCCAGGCCGAGGAGGAGAGCGGTTGGGGAGGGGACTTCGATCCTTTTGCTGATCCAGAAGAGCGTAGAGTGCTATTCGCTGCATTTGACTCGTTCAGGTACGTGGGTAGACAGTTGATAACAAGAGACATCTTTCTGGCCTGTAGCTTCTGCGTCGGAGTGAAACGACCAGTTGCCTACATAGAATCGCAGTGGGGTTGGCTAATATATCCACAGACAGTATCGGCGAACTGCACATATGAATACAACTCATCGCCGAAGGCAAGCCTTCTATGCCTTGCCCTCGGCCCACTGGCAGATGCTTTCGGAGCCTCCATTCTCCATCCTTGATAACTTCAATAAAGTCGACGATGCCATTGACACCAACGCTGAAATCGCCGATGCAATTCTGAAGCTGGGTCTCCAGTCATTTGGTCTTTCTGCGAGTCCCGACACAACCGATCCCACTGAAAATTGGTACGACATCGCAACTTCATCGGACGTCAACAAAGCGCACTCAACGATACGCCAGTTCTATCGTGACTGGAGCCTTGAAGGACGACCCGAGAGAGAAGTCTGCTATGACCCCGTTCTCCGGGCTCTCGATGAGGAGTTCCAGACACGGGGTGATAGCGGAGAGGAACTCCGTGTTCTCGTTCCTGGCGCTGGCCTGGGCCGTTTAGTTTTTGAAATTTGTATGGCAGGCTATCACGCCGAGGGAAACGAGATCTCCTACCACCAACTGCTAGCCAGTAGCTGGGTTCTGAACCACACCGACGGGCCGGCAAAGCACCCCCTTCATCCTTTTGCGTTGCATTTCTCCAATCTTCAATCCCGAGCACAGCAACTCCAGCAAGTCATGATCCCTGACGTGCACCCCGGATTTGCCATGCAGGAGGCTGCCAATGCTGGTCGCCGCTTGGGTGCGATGTCCATGTCCGCGGCGGATTTTACCGTCTTGTATACCCAGCCGAACAACCATGAGACATTTGACGCCGTAGCGACTGTTTTCTTCATTGACACGGCACCAAACCTTATTCGGTACATCGAGACAATCCGACACAGCCTCAAACCAAATGGCCTCTGGATTAACGTGGGTCCGTTGCTATGGCATTTCGATGACGGTCACCCCCGGCGAGGAAGTGGTTCCGAATACGAGGGGGCTGGGATTGGCGAACCGGGTAATGTGGAGTTGTCTGAGGAAGAAGTGCTGAGCCTTATGGAGCGGATGGGATTCCGCCTTGAAAAGCGTGGAGATCGAAAGGCCTGCGGCTACATTCAGGATCCCAACAGCATGCTTCAAAATCTTTATCAGCCCTCCCACTGGGTGGTACGGAAACTGCCAGTTTAATGGGGGCCGGTCGGAAAGCGGACTAACCCCTGTAATTCGGATCCATTAGCTGCTGTTTTTTTTGTTTTTTTTCTTTTTCTCTTCTCACCTTTGGGGGCCAAATCTCGGACAAAGGAGCCTAATCTGAGAATTAGATAGTAGGACTTGGGGTTAAAACTATTTAGATCTTTGTATGCTACCTATGCTCCGTATATATCGAAGTTCATGTCTTCCACGAAGATGTTCCTACCCCGCGGGGAGCTAGGCGCCAAGCGAAATAGTAAAATCGACATGCAATTTGGGGAATTAAAGATCTAAGTTGTCGATGTTGTCTATGTTGAATGGCTCCGTACTTGAAAGAGATCAGATCTCACAGTTACCTCAACTATCTGTATAGAGTAGACCTATTTTCACAGACAATCGGGAATTTAAACCCGGCTTCTTCAATTTTGCATATAAATTTCCCCATACTAATTTTCAGCTACAACATAAAATGTCATGACTTGTGTCATTCTTTCAAGTCTCTTTGATCTCCACAATTTCAAGACCTCAGCCTCACTTTCCCCCTCTTTCATCTTTTCCATCCCTTCCCAGTTTCTTACTCTTTTCCCTGTTTTGTCACACATGGATCTCATGAGTTCCCGACTTAAGTCATTTGGCTTTAGGAACAAACACAAATCTTCCAAGTCTAAACCGATTGCTCCTCCCACCCCTAGTTCCCCACCGCCCTCCGGTCACAGTTCATCAACGAGTCTCTCAATGAACCATCAGCAACCACAGCAGCCCCAGTTAGGCCGACCACCAAGTTATACAAACAATCGACCAACGAGTCCAATGGTGCATGGCCAACAACAGCCCCCGCCTATCACTACAAACCTCCAATACAACCCGAGTGCTCCCTTGAACGGTCCGCCGGGCTATGGCATGCAGCTACAGGTGGCTCCTAGTATTCCACCGGCACTGTCCAACACCCAGTATCCAGGGCGCAATCCGGCGGTCGAGGTTGAGGGTGGGGGTCGGAGCAAGGCCCAACTGATTGTTGGGATTGACTTCGGTACAACATTCTCGGGAGTCGCATATGCATTCGCAACCAACAACCAGGCGAGCGAGGACATCATCACGGAGTGGCCCGGGGCCGGAACCCACGCAAAACAAAAGGTGATCGTGACGAAGAAGTCTCCCTCATGAATGCAATTCTGACCACGGGATATTTTACTAGATTCCTACCGTCCTCTACTACGACCAATACCAAAAAGTAGTGGGATGGGGCCCCGACATCGCCGATGCTCTCGCTCCGACCGGATACCCCAAACCTCAAGTACAAAAGGTCGAGTGGTTCAAGCTTCAGCTGATGCTCTCCGGAAACACCTATATTGATCCCATCAACCTGCCCCCCCTCCCCCCGGGCAAGTCCGAAATCGATGTCGCTGCCGATTACCTTTTCAAGCTACGACAAGCCATTCGCGCCCAGCTGCAAAAGGCCCTAGGAGAGGTATTCACGCGTGAGGAACGCAATATCCGATACTACCTGACGGTCCCGGCTATTTGGAATGACGCCGGCAAAGCTGCGACGCGGACTGCTGCTATTCAAGCTGGCTTCTTGCGCGATGAGAACGATAACCGTCTCACACTAGTGTCAGAGCCCGAGGCAGCGGCCTTGTTCTGTGCCAAGAGCGGACTGCTCAACTTGAAGGTGGGCGATGCTATTTTGATTGTGGATTGCGGTGGTGGTACCGTGGATTTGATTGCATATGAGGTCGAGGAAGAGCAGCCTTTCAGTGTGATGGAATGTACTGCCGGATCTGGTGACTCGTGTGGTTCAACAGCACTAAATCGGAATTTCAGTAACATCTTACGGGCAAAGATCCGCAAGATGAAGCTGCCAGATGGCTCTCGAACTGCGGGCAAGGTCTACGCGAAGTGTATCATGGACTTTGAGAACCGGATCAAGGCCGACTTCCGCAACAACGGGCAAAAATGGGCAGTGGACGTGGGTATCGAGGCCGACTTCCCCGACGCCGGTATTGAGGAGGGTTACATGACCTTCATGAATGAGGAGATCCTTCAGTGCTTCGAGCCTGTCGTGAACCGTATCCTCGAGTTGGTCCGCAACCAGATTATCGCTATACAAGCACAGAACCGTCAGATCCAGGTAAGAGCATCTCAGTATGATCTTCAGCGCCAAGCTAACAAGATATAGAATGTTCTGGTCGTCGGTGGATTCGGTGCTTCCGAATATCTCTTCCAGCAGATTAAACTCCACGTGCCGCCACAGTATCAGACTAAGGTGGTCCGCCCGATGGACTCTGTGGCTGCGATCGTCAAGGGCGCAGTCACCGCGGGTATCACCGAGCGGGTCATCACACATCGTGTAGCACGCCGGCACTATCTTATGGCCACACTTCAACCATTCAAGGAGGGGTATCACCCAGAACAGTATCGTGTTCCGAGTTTGGATGGTCGCGATCGATGCAAGTATACCCGTCAGATTTTTGTCCAAAAGGGAGAGCGTGTCAGGATTGGCGAACCAGTCAAGGTCAGCTTCTTCCGTCAAGTTGCACCTGGCGCCACCCTCATGTATGAGGATGTATTATACGCCTGTGACGAGGACGTCTGCCCCGAGTACACCAAGGATCCACGTAAGTGGAGAGTTTTCATTTCCCTTGTACCAATCACTAATACTTTCGCTAGGCATCAAGGAAGTCGTCACACTCACATCCGATTTATCACGCAAGAACCTCGAGACTGACTTTGAGCGCATGGATACACCTCAGGGGATCTTCTACCGTGTTTACTTCGACATCTATCTTACCCTCGATGGCAGTGAATTCAGCGCCGAATTAGTTTGCCAGAATGAGATCATGGGCCGTTGCCGTGCCAAGTTCCGTTGATCTAACCATTTTTCGCTCACGGGAGGCACAGATGAAAACACACTTACGCGCGCCGCATCTAAATCCCTCCTGAACGAGACCCACGACATCATCGGTGAACAGAGCTTTGGCCATGACTTAAGTTTTATTAAATTTCCCTCACGTTAGTCATGAATCGGTGTACTGGTCAGGTACCCCTAACCGGATGATTGGGCATCACTGCACCGGCGAATAGGCGTTTTCTGTGTTTATTCTTGGCAAATCCTGTGCCGCTCCTAGATGTATGTTGCAGGTTTGTGAAATTATTCGTTTTGCCTACTTGCTTCGTCAGCGGTTCCTAGTTGCGTTTTCCCTTTTTCTTCCTTGATTTTTCTGTTTCCTTCTTAGATACCTCTTGCCTATCTTGTTTTGTTTGAATAATATGGACGGGCTGTGGTCCTCATCTAACTAATAATATCCAGTCCTATCTACATGTTTATGCATCTCTTTGCTCATGATTATAAGTTTATACAAGGCAGATGTCATGCCGTCTAACCTATCAAGTTTATCCATTCAGCACACCCAAGGCAGACAACTGACGATTGCCACATCTCCCATTTTTCAGATAGGCAGTAGAAAACAATGAGAAACAAGTCCCAATAGACAAAAAGGAAGATTGGTAACACATCCAACTCATCCAAAATTAGGTCTCCAGGTTAATGCTCCGACCAAACCGCGCATACAGCGCAACCTTCAGCTGCTGCATTTCCTCACGTAGATCACCAAGTGAGTCCTCTAGCTTTGAGACATCTGCGTCAATCTTCTCTGTTGATGCCGAGAGCATTCCCTGCGCGTCTGATAGCGGTAGTTGGAAGAATGAGTCGCCGATTTTGTAGCTGGGAAGGCTGTTAGTCATGATCCCTTTACTTCTTGCTCTTGGGGATTTTAGTTTCTTCACATATTCCAAGAGAAACCTTGTAGAGAAGAGTCGTGACAGAACAGATAACTAATGAAAAGGAAAGAGGGTGTTACTTACGGCACAAGCTCATCTTCATCAGCAAGCTCCAATTCCATCGAAACCTCTTCCAAATCCTCCTTATCCTTCTAGAAACCAGTTAGCAACCTATCCAATACATTCCAGAAACTAAGATCTTCAGAAATCAAAACTCCATACCTGCTTCCCCTTCAACTGCTCCTCGAGCACAGTCTCGCGCTGATGCAACCGACTGAACCGGTTGATCTTCTCCTGATCCTCGCGGCGGACTTCATTCTCATCATTGACGGACGTCTCGTCCGCTTTTGTGAGCTGTGCGTTGGTCCGGTTAGCTTCAGAGCTGGAATTTGGCGGGGTTTGTCGCGCTTGAGCTTGGTGGGGGTGGGCTTACCATACGCGGCTGCACCATTTTGGCTTTCTTGTAGAGGGAGATAAGGCTGGTCTTTGGGGGAATTGTCTGTTGTTTCGTGTTTCGTGCTTTGGGCTTTTGTTTTTGTCCTCGTTGCGGGTTAGTTGGTTGGCGGGTTTGATATCGGATTTGAGTGGGTGGTCCGTGCGTGGCGATGAGATAGTTGATGTTTGTTTGTAGAGGATACGATCTAGAGAGGATACTTTAATAGTTTATAAAGGGTGTGGAATTTGATCAGGGTTCGTTTCTGCTTCTTTCTCGGATGTAGCAGATCTTCTATTTTGTTTCTATATTCCTTACATCCATACACCGGATTGGGTAGGCCGTTGAGTACTTGGTGTGACATCATAGCTTGTACTCTAAATTTTTTCTTTTTTAAAAAAAAAACCAAATACCTTTGAGCCGAAGATATCAAACTCCAAGAAATGGGTTCAAAAATGTTGAGCCATCTTAGTTCCGAGTTGAGTGTGCTCCGTACGCATCAGATCTGTAGTGCCAAAACACCGCCACCGGAGAAACGAAACACCTCCGCAGGAACCCCCGTCATTGTCAATTTTCAACTTCACAGGGACCACCTTCGAACCGGGTAACCCGATCTCTCCAACTTCGCTTCAACTGTGTGTAGTCAACTTGTCCTGTGGACACCTGGCCTCGTGACCATCTCCACCTGGGCCATCGAGCTCCATCCCGCGCGAAAGCCTCATCCCAGCGTTCATTCGTCAATCCATCCTACCCTTCGCGACCCAGCCAGCGGCGAATTGGTCAAAATGCGAATACAATCAAACGGAGTTTCACTCCTCCTCTCCACCTTCCTGTCAAGCCTGGCATCCGCGTCCGGCTTCGACTGCGCGCACATCAAGCTCGATAATTACAAATACGATCTCAGTCCCCTAAAAGGCGTTCACGAGCTGACTCACAGCGTGACGACGGATGAGTTTGTGACGAATACAACCTACCGATTGAACATTTGCAATATTCTCGGGGATGGTGCTCGGTACGGTGATGCGACGTGCGGGACTAGCAAAAACGGTACGTTCCAGGTCGAGATGACGCGACCATGTTGAAGTGGCCCTCGGATTGGGAGCTGTCACGCTAATTGATGCATTCTTTAAGTTTGCGGATTCGTGCACCGAATAGCGAAGGACGGAAATGGCGGCTCTACATTCGGTTTCCCGATCGTCGGCCTCGACCCGGTTGGCCAAGGCTCGAAAAACCCAGAGCTGAAACGATTGAAGGAGATCGATCCGGAAACCGAGGGCCTGCGCGTTAAGCTGGAAGGTGGCTCTTACAAGGGAGATGGAAATGACCAGAAGTCCAAGAATGCAGGTGCTATCATTGAGTTCCAGTGCGACCATGAGCGATCTGGACTGGAGGGCCTCCACACGCTTGAAGTGGACCCGGAGACGAAAGAGCGACGACGAAGAGCAGAGAGTGAGGAGGGCAGTGCGCCGTCGGGCAACAGCAGCAGTAGTCTGCAGTTCAAGAGCTTTGGTCCGTCGGACGATGATACCTACATCTTGAGACTGGACTGGCGCACAAAGTACGCCTGTGACGAGTACGAGAAAGACAAGGGTGATACTTCCAGCTCTAGCAGTTGGGGTTTCTTCACCTGGTTGATCATCATGTGAGTTTTTTTCTCGTTCCTAGGAGCTTCCTTCTCTTGTTCCGTCCACATGGAAACGCTCTGCTGATCGATGTATCCAGTGCCTTCCTCTGTATCGCTGCCTACATCATCTTCGGCTCCTGGCTTAACTACAACCGCTACGGCGCCCGTGGCTGGGACCTCCTCCCTCACGGCGACACCATTCGCGATATCCCCTACCTTTTCCAGGATTGGCTCCGTCGTGTGGTCAACTCCCTGCAAGGAGCGGGGTCACGGGGTGGTTACAGTGCGGTATGAAGGACCTTTGCTTGGATAAATTGGTTCCCATAGCCATTTGTACTTTTGGTTGAAGATACAATCCATTTGTGTATTTTCCTTTTCTGACTAGGCCATCTTGACCGGGGGTTCACTGCTTTGCTTGCAGGCAGTCCGCCAATGCAAGTTTTCTTGATGAGGTTTTGTGGCGCTAGATGAGGAGCTAATGTGGCCACAACGAATGATGTGATTTCAAGGCTGTTGGAATATCCCCTAGAAGGCCGTTTGCTAGTAGGCTTGAGGGGTTTTGGATGCTGTCAGGGTCAAACTACCCTGCTCTTGTTAGTTTGAACAGACGGTGATTCATCTTTCTCTCTCTTCCCGGTGAACATTGTAGCACGAAAAGGCCACATGTGTAGTTCGTTGAATCTGCGCGTCCTTACCGTTATACTCTTTGAACGTCTAACGATGTTGAACCCTCGGCTCGAGCATTTTTCGGATGCTGGTGAGGAATTAACAGCCTAGCTTTCCAGGCTCTCCGTGGAGGATTGCGGGCCTCAGTCGCTGTGGTCGATGCTTCTTGTCAATCCTCTGAGACCTATCAAATGCCTTGACTTCTACCTACCCTCGCTCCGATGAGGACAGCTTATGGCTAGTCACTACACACCAAAAGAGATCATCCATGCAGTTTCATCCCGCTGAGATAGTAGACAGGTCACCTCTGAAGGAGAAGAATGAATCGAAAGCTGATATGACCAAGTCGAAAATCTCTTTGATGGTTACAGTCAGAGACGATCCTGTGGCCTGAAAAGGCATACTGACTATATGCTGGTGATCGGTGTGATGTATAGATTCATCAGTATCCTTCCCATGTTAGTTGATTTCTATAGCGCATAGCGTGTTTGACATACCGAAGGCCCCATATCATTCCTTGAAAAGAGCTGCATGGCCTTTGGGAGTGCCTTCCTTTTTAGCCCAAACCATTGACTTTTCTCTTTCGCAAATTCCTGGTCCCCACCCTTGTGCCTCTCAAGAAGTTCAAGACTTGGCTTTTCATCGGAGACACAAGCCTAAGGTCAAGACCGAAATAACACCGCTCGACCCCTCATAGATACTTCACTCCTCTCAATCCGGTTGTTGCGACCGATCTCCAGACTCTGAGTACGTCCAATGGATGAAAAAGATTTCGCTTTTGCAGACCCTCCTATCACCATGACTTGTAACCCTACACTAAGCATCAACCTCAAGCTCATGTGCCATACGGAGTACAGATATAACAACAACATTGAAGATCAGCGACTTGTATTTTTAGGCCAACTACAACATACACGCGACAAGTCCGACAGCAAATCGCAAACAGTTGGGAAGAACACGTGCAACGATCGTTACCAACCAATCTCCGTGGAGATGGCGCCATCCGGACTGAATCGTTCTCATATCGCACAGAGACCTAAAAAAAACAAAGCAAAGGAGACTGGGGTAAGTTGCCCTCGACCCTTTCTTCTCCTTTTTCATCTCACCCGTTTCGTGAGCCTTGGGCACTACAGACGACTTGACAGTTTCCTTTCCTAAACCTTCATGGCGAATGACTTGAGGTACAGGTAATCGGCCATATTGGCGTCAACTGTCTGGCGGATGAGAGCAGCCTGCTTCTCACCGTACTTCTTTTGCCATTCGGCGTCATACTCCTCCTCAGACTTGATTGTACGGTTCTATGAAGAGTGTTAGCCCGAAGTCCCAATACCTTTGCCTGCTGTTCTACAAGAACAAAGAATGAAAAAAAAAGAAAAACGACTCACAGGAGCTCTCTGCACCAGAGCCTTCGACTCAATAGCATCATTATGGAATCCACGCCACTTCTCAAACGCATTCCGAGCAACGGAATGGTCCTCCTCCGTATCCCACGTCAGCATCTCCGGGCGATACGGCAGACCAGTACTGTTACAGAAAGCCTCGATGGTTTTCACCGGTTCGTCGAGCATATCATCCGCATCGATGACACAAACCTCGACACCAGTCGTCGCCTGCGCACCAGGAGAGGCGGTTAACTCCGGACGTGTGGCAACGTGGGGCCCGACCAAACCAGTCTCGCGCAGATAATCGAAGTGCCGACGCAGCTCGTCGTATCCGGCCTCAAGGGGGTCGTAGTTGTGGAACCCAGTCACCTCGTCCAGAGGTGGGATCGTGCACCGCAGGTACGACGGCACGCTGTAGTGCGGGTCGCGGATTAGGAATGCCCAGTGGAACCCCTCTTGCAGCTCGCGCGGCATCACGGTTGGGTTACCCGGCTCGGTGGACGTGTCGTACGGGTAGGGTTCCTTGGAAGTTCCATTGGTGTGACTGTTGATCATGCTGTTGATGTGGCCGTTCACACCGTTCGGATCTCCGTTGCCATTGGTGGAAACAGTGCCGTTAGCACCGTTCACCCCGTTGGCCTTGTGCGACTCGCCGTTGGTGCCAACTCCTCGCTTAAGGCGCAGTAGAGACGGAGCGATGCTGGCGGGTTGGCCATTCGGTGGCAGCAGGTAGTGATCGATATCTTTGATAAAGACTCTCTTTCCCTGTGACGAGGTAAGTATCCCCTCAAAACGTGCGAATTTTCCATTCCGCCGCGTGGATCTCCATGGGTGATTCAATATTTTGGAGCCCGTCTGCGATCTAAAGTCTGTAGAGGGGAACGGGGGAACAGATTGCCTCGGGCTACATCCGCGGTACAAACAACAATAGAAATCGTGAATAGGGAAGGAATCGTCCTTCTTGTTCGACCCCCAGAGGAGAACCGGAAGGGCATTACGAAGGGGATGGGTAAGAACGCGATCGATTTCGCAGAAAGAAGGGTCGGACCTGAGTAGTTTCTCGCTCTAGCCTTTCCATCACAGTACTATATCTCGAATTGGCGAATCCACTATCCAGACGTGCTTTTGCATGTTCGTCGCCTGCAAATCGGCTGGAGAGTCGCTCCGGGCCGTAGTAGAATGCATCGCCAAACGGCTCATGGACACATTGGATCGTCTCACGTTGAGTCATGAAGACCTATCGTCCGTTAGCTATGCGTTGAGAATGAAATTTTGATCAGAATCAGGGTCTCTCAAGATCTCTTACTCGCTCAAAGGCCGTCGAGCATGCTCGCGGATGCGTAGCCACAAAAATCGGCTTGCCTGACATTTCGTAGGCTGTACAAAATTTAATCTCGACCGAGATAAACTGCAATCTGCAGGCTCCGTCTCAGGGAAAATCACGAAAGGGAATGGTCAATAACCATGCAGGGGACCAAGCCTCTTGATCAATGAATGCAAGGCTAATGCCAATCCAGCCGTTCAAGCTGTGGCGAGATTAAAATTTTTCTGGTTGGCGGATCGAGTTTTTCACCACCGTGCGGAATGTAAAAGCTTCTCGATGGTCTCAACTGCAATCACGATGGTGGAAGAATGAAATGAGAGGGGGCAAAAAACTCTTTATATGAACGAATGAACGAATGAACGAATGAAAGAGGTACCAGGGTTTAGGATCCATTTCTTTTCTTTTTCTTGCCTTTTCCTTGCCTTTTCCTTGCCTTTTCCTTTTGTCTGGCCTCGGGAGACAGAAAGGTACCAGACTTGGATATTACTCTTCTCCATGGAGACAGAAAGGAAAAAGGAAAAAAAAATAAAAAAAAAATTAAGATGAATTTGGATCTGCTTTTAAACAGGAGATCTACGAATTGACCCGAAGTTGTACATACACGTTTTAGCAGAGCAGCAAGATCCGTTTTCGTACATCTTAGCATTGTCTTGGAGGATTTCATACAGAATCAGCACCTGTAGTCCTGCTTACCTGTGCACAATGTCTAGATAGAATCTAAAAAGCCTCGAAGCCGTGTTCAACATGAACGTCATACCTTTTAAGCAAGGGTCAGAGAAGCGACATCAGAATCGTGAACGCCAGAAAGCCTCTTGCCCCTCTTTGCCCCCGCAGGAACCTTTCCGCTTCTATTTTTCCTCTCCCCTCGTCGAGCAGACACGAAAAGGAAAAGAAAAATCTAGAGGCTACCAACGGCCAATGGGGAAACAACTGGTGGGCAGTTTGGGTGGATCGACCTTCAATTCTGGATACGCTGACCTGGAACAAGTGTCCACAGTCCACGGTCCAGTCGTCTCGTAGCTCCTCACCAGAGAGGGACACTCCTCTTCCATGCAGCCCGGTGAAAGTTGACTTCCTAAACGGTGATAATTCCAGTCGAGAGCACAGAGGTATCTTGTATAGAAATTCCCTCAGCCCAATATGAGTAGATACTTGCAGGGGGTCTGATCCTGGGCAAGGTTGGAGATCGATTTCTTCGAATTCTGATTGCTCTGCCTAAATTCGACCTGACGTCATTCACTAGCCGTGGGATGTTTTTTTTTTTTCTGTCGGCTATCGTGGAACACGATATAAAATGTAAAAGTAAAGCGACGCAGGGCAGAAGGTAACCTGAAGACTGGAGCTTTGTAAATAGTGCCTGGGCAGGCGTCAGTGGCACATTGTAAAATGGATCATCGCTTGTTCACGTTTTGATTTTTGCGGGTAAGAGGAGCCGGGGGAACTTGGTTATTTCAATGCTCCACTGTAGGGCACGCAAACTCCAAGGGGCCTCAATCCCGAATCATCGATCCAACGGAGGGAGACTCGTTAAAAGTTCCGGGAGACTTGTCAAAATGGCTTACAAGATTGGTCGAACATTACCTAGTCAACTAGCTATTGAACAACTGATTAGGTTGCAATTTATGGTTGAAAACAGGGCATGAAACTCCTGGAATACAGACCGCTAGGTGGTGTACGCAGGTGTATTGTGGCCAGTGGTCCGATGCGGTCTCTTGTAGTATTCGTGCCTAATCTGATTTTATACCGCACTTTCACACCGTTCTATACCGTGTACCGTGTATTAAGACAAAAATCGATAGGTGCAACAAGGTATTATCGAGACCTATAGTACAAAATCTGGCTGAAAACAGGGGACGAAAACTCGGTAAATTCTCGGACCACAAGGACGGCGCTGTCCAAAACAGATTGTATGTTGTGTTGACTTGTCATGAACTTGGTTTAAACAAGTTGCGGATCAAGCCCTCTGTCATAGTTATAACGGTATTTTGATTTCTACTAATCTGAAAATAAGGCATAATGCAGGCATAGCAAGGCAATCAGATCTCTATAACATCACGCCTTTGACCTTTGGCCTATCTGCCCTTCGCACTACTGAACCAAGTCCCCTCTACTGGTGCTTATACAAGTGCCCGTCTTATTCGAGCCCTTCGTCAGGTATGTATAAGGCCGCAGCGGCCGCCGGCCGCCTTCTTCTTTTTGCGCTGCTCTTCGGGGCCTTGGATTTCCGTATCCGTCGTCCCAGGGCTGACGAGGTTGACCTGAATAGGGCCCAAGTCGAGCGCAAGGGCACGCGTAATACCAAACAAGGCTGCGCCTTGGCCCGCTAGCAACGCCGCTCATTCAACAATGCTGTTAGAGATACTAGAGATCTACGATGAATGTAGATGTAACTGGAAATCTCTTGATGCGTTGAGAGAGAGAGAAACTATCTACATGCTATGACTGAGACTAAGTACTGGGAGCAAACAGTGGTGGTCACGTGACCTTCCAACAAATGCATTTGCAAAGCCGTGGTAGGCAAGTTCACATTCATTTGAAAGTATACATGCATGAAGATGCGACTTTCAACAAGTTGACTAGAAAATCATCTGACGGTGAGGTGAATTTACTGCTTGCTACTGGAGTTGATGTTCCGATTAGATCCACCGCCTCGACTGGTCTACCGCCTGAGACTGGTTTACCGCCTCGACTGGTTCACCGCCTAGACTGGTCTGACCAGTCCACCGCTCGAGGTTACATACCGCCTGAAATCTTTCTCACCGCCCGAGCTTGGACAACGCCTGAATTAAATCTATCGCCTGATGGATGACTTCTTCTCAAGGCGGTAAGACTGAAATTCACCGCTAGGTTATATACCATTCATTGGAAACGATACAGCTTCCTTGGTATACATTGTACCGTATCAGCTTCTTCTACGCCACACTGTGGCTCGACTATGACCTTACGTACATCGGCTTGTCGATAACAGACAAAATAATAGAGTGTATTAGAGTTGGACAATACAGGACAGTACGGCTTTATCAACCAATTAATCCGCCCTCACGAACGATGAACGATTTCTTTTCTGAGAGAGCTCTAATCGTCAGCGCATGGCAAGCGCCTACAGAACTTGAAACCAAACGATATAATCCACCTAAAAGACGACTCAATCCGGACAGAAGGCTCGATTCTGCAGCGGAGTTCACGAAGTGTGCTGACCCCTTGCTTCCCTGGTCTGACGGTTTTAGTCAAATACTTTCTGGCCACACCAGCCCAGTTGGTTAGGTCTCGCAAGAGTTCGATGCCGGACTTCTAATTTCTACCGGATGCGAACAGGCAGCGACTTAGCTTTCTCGTAAATTCCGAAACAACCATTCGTTATACAGATTGACTTGGTTCCTAGGCTGCTCGCATGATTGCAATATAAGGGTCATGTCTTTGATTTGTTGCAGCGACTAGAAGCTAGAGGATGTTTCAGTCTTCTTTAAGCAGGGACTTAGCAAGGTAAGATGAAGCACTGGCAGTCGTCGTCATGTCAAGCCCTGATGTCGCTGACTTCGTATCACTTTTCAGTCTGCTTTGATTGGAGCGCAATTGACTTGGCATAGAGCGGGGAAAGTTGATGCAACTCTGCCGCCATCATTCATCCTATAGAACTAAATTACCCCCCTTGGGCACTCTTCTTGTTCGGTCTCCGATTGTCTTCGTTGAAAGAATATCTCACTCCTAGCAATGGGCCCGACCTTGGGAAATAACACTGCCGAAGTACATGCGGTGACCGACCTGGACGATGAACATACACACGATAGCCTTCTGTCTCTACGATGGACCGTTGAGAGCGGCTGGTGGCGCCGATCCAGGTGGGTGCAAGGCAAACGATGTGAAGGATTCACCCCTGATATATGTCTACAGCTATGCAGGGTGTCTCCTGTACAATGTCGGCTCCTTTATGCTCCCTGCGTTGTAAAGCACTCTAGTCAAGATCTGGATTGCGAACATTGACTCTACCCTGGTGGTTACAACGGATGTCTATACTTATATCGGCACTGTTGCCGAGGTACTTAACGAATGTCTTCCTCGTGCCGTCTGGGTGACTATCGCCGATCAAGTTACGCGGTCATACGAGTCTCGTCTAGAACTCGCACATACTCTGGTCGCGTTCCAAACAGTCCTCGGTCTGATCATGAGCATAATTCTCACCAGCGCTGCCAAAGCCTTCACGGCCACCTTCATCCCGCGCGAGGCTCGGAAAGCAAGTATTACCTATGTTCAGATTAGTGCATTCTCAGCCCTCAGCTCTGCTATAGAAGTTGCAGTATCCAACGCGACAAGGGCCCTGGACAAGCCCGACGTTCCTCTCGTGATTAGTTCGGTCAAGACTGTCGTGAACATTATCTTGGATCTCCTGATCATATCCGAGTTTCATGTGGGTGGTTGGTCTCCTAATATTAACATGCAGGCTGCTATTCGTCTAAGCTGTGACATGGTCGCGGCTCTTACTGGCTTAGCATACTTTATCCAGACAATAAACCTGTCCGAAGGACGACGCAGCTGGCACTGGATTGGAAATATCCCAAATTTTCTGCCTTTTTAACGCTTCTCAAACCAGTTTTGATCACCTTTGTCGTGTCGGCAGTTCGAAATGCGCTATACCTCTGGTTGGTTGCAGGAATCGTGACGATGTCCGCAGACTATGCTACAGCATGGGGAATATTCACTACAATTCGATGGGGTTTGATTCTGGTGCCTGTTCAGGCACTGGAGGCTACGTCTCTCGCTTTTGTGGGGCATTTCTGGGCTATCTTCAAGGGAAATAATATACAAAGTGGGCGTTGGAGAAAACTTGCAAGTAAGTTCCAAGTCATCAAGCAGTTTTCGGGCACAAAACTTATGCTTTGTAGTGGTCACGCGACCGGCTTTTCTCTCTGCTGGTATAGCTTTAGCCATCGAAGTACCCATCTGCATCCTTCTGGCTACTGTAGGGTGCAAACCGTTTGCATACTATCTAAGTCAATCCGAAAGGGTTGCTGAGATCACGGCTCATATGTGGCAGACGATAGACTGGTAAGTTCCCAGTGGCTACTACTGAATTCCTGATTGTCTATAATCACTCATGCATTCAAGGTGTTACATTCTATATGCGATGTCTACCCAGCTTGCCACCGCACTGCTGGCCACCCGTCCGATGTGGTATCTCGTGCAGAGTCTCATTTCCAACCTTTTTTGCGTCCTTCCTTGGGCAATTGTCTGCCAATTTTCTCACCTTGATCCTCATAATGCTTGGACATATCATAGCCTCGCTTTTGGAGGAAGCCTGGTATTCACGTTCTCATAGATTTGTTTAATCATTCTCCTGTGGTTTTGGAGATTTCGGTAAAGCTTGCTGGTGATATACCCCACCTGTACGAAGAACTTTAGGATCACCTTACATACAAGTTTTTTAATAATCGCGTAGAGGTATATCAGTGTAGGTGTTTATACATATCGTACAAGTCAAATATGCTACAAGGGGTTTGTCTATACTAATGATAGTAATGGAATGCCAGTTGATCAGCTGTGCACCAGAATCGACGGGCAAGGAACCTAAAAGACCAATGACAAGTCTTGTTGAGCAAACACAGGCAGAAAACTTATGGTTGCTTCAAACTGATCAACGGTGCACTTAGCAACGAGATATTAATTACGAAACGCTATATATGCAACATGTTGCAAGATTTACTAAATGATTGCTAGTACGGTCGAAGCTCACAGCTTCATAGTATAGAGACCACGCTACGTATTCTAGATTGACGGGGGGGTCGGACCTACAACCCCAAAACCATAACCACCACCTTAGGGGGGTCGCAAAGGAACAACGTCATTGATGGCCCAGGCAATACCGGTGGTGAGGATGAGTGAGGATGGGTAAGGGGCGGGGTCCACGGCTATCGGGTTAATGTGCGCCCGGGAAGATGGTAAAGCCGAAATCAGTTGATATCAAATGTTAGGCTAGATAAGCACCTTTCAGTGACTACAAGAGCTGCAATTCACCTTACATGCCTCAGAATCCAGAACAACATTGATTCAAGTATCTAGAACCGTGAAACAACACCGAGCTTACATTCTACTTATAACATGATGGCTGTACCCCATCATCGCCATCGAACCTCTTTGGAAGGTGTCATTTTTCCTCCACCTCGACGCTTGTCGCCAGAAGAGCACGACGAAGCCACTAAACTTTTCAACAGCCTCATCGAGCATTTTGAGCCTTTGCAGGCATCTAACAAGGGCTACAAACCATTAACACTTTTACGCCTCACGAAAGGAGGAGTCTCCGTTGGAGATGAGTTTCTAGAACTTTTTTTCACTTTTATTCAATGCGATCGACTTGGAGTCCCGGAAACCACTCTAGCTGAGACCTTAGCATCCCTACGCAGCTTTCAGGGATGGACTTCCGAAGAACAGCATGAACTAAGTCAAAGCTTGGTTGAATTCTCTTATTTTCTGATGGATAATTTTTACCTACCACGTACGTCATTGATATGTACCTGAATCGTGAGACGCTAACTCTTGTCAGTTAAATCACTAGCCGCAAAGACTCCTCAGCCTACGCCGGCATTTCTTTCTCGTCCTGATTTGTCCGATCCAGCTATCGGCACTCCACAGCGCGTCTCCAACTTGCGAAAATGCTGCCTTACGCGTGACCGGCATCGATGTGTCGTAACCCGTAAATTCGACGTACGTGAGGCTGAAGCGCGATACAGAATCGACGGATCGAACGTTAGAGATGATGATGGGAACTCCCTGCTAGAGGAAACTGGAAATACAACTTTTCTAGAAGTGGCGCATATCATTCCCCACTCTCTTATGTCTCATAGCGACATTTCAGGAGAGTCGAAACTAGTACGTCATTACCAATGCCTATAGCCTTCTGCTTACAAGTCTTCTAGACTGAGCGAAAACAAATAGCGCACAAGATCCTCAAGATGTTTAACCCCGGCGCTGTCTACCTCATCAGCGGGATTGACATTGACCGACCGATGAACGCGCTTACCTTGACTCAAGAACTTCATCAGTTGTTTGGTAATTTTGAGATCGCTTTCGAGTCGGTTCCTGATCAGCCACATACGTACAAGATCGATTATATAAACACAAACCGCATGTTTCGACCCGACAATCTTCCTGTTACCCGCCCGCTGTTCATCACACCCGACAGAAGTGTGGAGCCCCCTTCTCCTCAACTATTGGAATTACATCGTGTCATTGGGCGAATTCTTCATCTTAGTGCTGCAGGTGAATACATCGATAAATTGGTTCGGGATATGGAAGATATGGAGGCGGGGGGAGTCTGTTCGGACGGGTCTACTCGCATCGATGATTACGTTCGCTATAGACTAACAACTGAATTTCATCAGATGATTGTTTGCTAAAGATTTGCCAGTTTTTTATTGAAATCATTAGATTTTTACTACTAAGAATTATTCAAGTGTTACGTACTGCTTTGTGGCTCGGGAAGCTGTCAGTCGATAATGTGATGTATTGTGGTCTTAACCTGTACCGTGCTGCTGTTGCGCAATGAACCATTCTTGACTATCGACAAGCATATCATGTCAAAGGTGTACTGCTCATTTCTAAGAGGTTCTTGCTAGCAGTAATTAGATTGCAGTGCTTCCTCACGACAAGGTCTTATCAGCAGTAGATTTTTTATTATTCTGACATGGCGGTTCAGGATGAGCATTTTCCTGTATACATCATGGGAATTCGCGTGCTGTCCGATGCAATCTCAGTATCAATATGAGTAACCCGCCTAGCAAGTACTCTTCTGGTCACTTCAAAGTTAAGCGCGATCGAGAGCTTCCTTGATCGCATCGAGGACGAACCTTGGAAGGAACTAATAGAAAGTTGGATTTTAGCCTGTAGAACACAAACTACTCCACCTCAGCATTCTCTTTCATCATAACCCGATTGGTTTTCGTACGTTTAAGAGGCTGGTTGGGATCCTGCTGGAGTCCGATCTTTTACAGACTGACGATATTTTCTAGTCGGACCCGCCGGGTACGGTCCGGTCCACCTTTAATAATTTTTAAATTCTCCGATGGCCTGGCTCATGGTTTTGCCATTCGGTTACTTTTTTACTTTTTAGTCAATTTGATAGTAGAAGGCTCGTCATTATAGACCTGCGACCCGGCTGCATGTCCAAGCTGTGAGCGGGAGAAAATACCAAGGAGCCTGTTTCAGATTGCTGGGGAAAAGGATTATAGGGACAATGGGTGATAATGCCTTACTTTCCTTTTGGACATGCGAATCTGTAGTAATTCAGCACCATAAAGGCATGTCACAGTACATAGTATACCAGGGATTGTATGCTCTACATTTGATAATGATCCCGATCCCAGAGGTAGGTCGGTGGCTTCATAAACAAGCATCACCACCAACATACTTTTTAGCATCATTCAATGACGGCTAGAAACAGGGTCATGATGCATAGCTATCGGACTTGAATGTTCAGTTCTACGACAGCTACAGTGACGACCCATGACGAGTGTGTACAGAGGGGCGAGAAGCACAAGGTCAAAAATACAGATCCTGGTACGATGGATGGGAGCTTAATCCCCTTGAATTGACTTCTCAGCATGACATTCTTTGTCGACCGTGTTAAACAGCAATCTGGTGTCAGAAGAAGCCACCTTGACTTGAATTGCTTATCAAACCTTGTGCGGAACCCGTCCAGAGTGGCACGTTTGCGGGTTCGTGTGACCCAAGACTCGCATCCTTTATCCTCCAATTCGTGCCAATTCCGAAACCACATGAACATAGAGGCACTAGAAAATATAAGGTGGGCTATTATTTCCTTCGGGTCGACATCTTATATTCCAGCTAACATTTCGCGACATTTCTAGTCGTCCTGCCTACGTTGAAACTCCGGGGGTTTAGACCGGTACTGTAAAGCACACGAACGTCATTTGCTTCAGTGCTTTGAAACTTCCATTCCAGTCAAGCCACCACGAATACCTCGCCCTCATCCATACACGTCATCCAGACAGTCACGTTACGCTCGGCCGACACTGGGTCATTTCTGAAGTGCAGAAGGTAATTCTGGAGCATCGCAGCAGTGTACGTATTCGGCTTAACCTTGGCAGCGAAAGATTTCGACAACTGAACAATATCCTTCAGCGACCAACTTGAAGAGGCTGGTTCCAGAGAACAACATATTCTCATATCATGGGGATCGACAATATAAAGGTGGTCTGCAGGCCTCACAAAGAATGTTAGGAATAGCTCCTTGATATCTCTTGGGGTAGCGAAGTGGAAGGGAAAGACTCGGTCCACCCGGCCTGGGCGTTGGAGGGCCTTGTCAAGAGACCCTGGGTCGTTTGTGGTCATGATCAAGATTCGCCCTTCCTGGGCAGAGACACCATCGATGATATTGAGGATTTCTGAGAGGCTTAGGCCACCCTGCGAACGATCAGAGGGATCTGGACATTCATGGCTTCTATCAGCGTCTGACGTATCTTCAACCTGGGAGAACGATTTGCTGATATTGCGGTTCTCTATGCCGGCCTGATCCACATCCTCGAAAAGGACGAGACATTTCTCCGGTAGAGATAAAAACAAGCGGGTGAGGCTGTCACCGTCGACATTCTTTGAGTTGAGACTGACTGTGCAGATTTCGAGGCCTATCAGACTAGCAATAGCGAGGCACAGGCTTGATTTGCCAGTGCCCGGTGGGCCTTGAAAAAGATACCCCCTTCGATATGGAATGCCACGTTTCTGGTACCAGGAACGAGTCCGCGGATGGAGGAAGTCTGTCAGATCGTCGACAAGCGCATTCTTGATAAGCGGATCTATAATGATAGTCGAGAGGGGCCTTGGCATCTTAGATGGCAAACTCATCCACTGTCGCGCTGGTCCATCCTTGAGCCCCTGGCTTATGCGTACGCGGTTGTTGGTCGTCTTTATGTTAGCCCCCTGTATATCTTGCAAGAGCTTTCGAAGGGCATGCTGACTCCAGGCATACAGATATAGCTTCTCCCGGTGATCAGTCCAAGGGCTGCCAGCTTCCTTGTACGGTTGACGACAGAAACCGAATAGAGTACCTCGATATCGGAAGAAGTGAATACCAGGAGGTGCAGGTGTATAGCGAATAGGTTGAATCGTCGTCAGGTCCCTAATCTTGATCCAAAATTCCCGTTCGTCCTTCTCGAACTGGACAACCTCTTCTTCAGAAAGTTCCTGTTGCTGTTCGGTCTTCTGATCATCCTTGTCCCAGGGAGATACAAAGCCGATTTTGGTTCCTGCAATTGAGTCTTGTGTTGTGCTCAATTCTGGCAACTGTGAGACCCAGCACATCACATCCTTGTATATAGCATCGTGATATCTGATTTGAACTGAGGATGAAAACGGAAGAAGAAAGTGATAAGAGCGGGTCCAGAGTACCGGGAAAAAATACATGCAGGCTACTAAAAGAGCCGCGGATGCAAGGAGAAAGATCGAGGCATTTGCATGGAGGTAAATTTTGACAAGACGAGCAAAGAACCTGTAGCCGGGTAGAAGGCTTTCAAGCAAGGCCTCGGGCGCTTCTAAAAAGGATACAGTTTCCGTTGGATTCATGATTGATAGGGTTGGAAGAAAGAGGCGTCGAAAATGTGGTTCAGTCGACAATGTACGATCAAGCAATTGGTTCAATTTATATACACGGTCGTGGCAGGTTGCGGGTTGGCACCCTAACAAGCCGAGTACAGGGTAAGCTTGATTCTGGTCCTATGCAGTTCGCGATGACCCGTCTTGTCAAGTTATCGAGCTTGCGTAAACACTGCAGGACAAGATCGTTTCCTGCTTTTCACAGTGACATTTCGTCCAGCTACAGTGCCTCTATTCCGAAGGGCTTTGCTGCATACCAATTAGCGATCTTACATCCAATAAAGTTCAGTGTATGCATGCCGTCTGTAAGCCGCAGCATTCTAGAATAGGTTCGATCTACTGCCTCGCTTGTGAACAGGGTGGCTCAAAAACCAGGCTACTGCAATATTCGTTACGGTTTTGTTCTGTTAAGCGCCAAAAACCACCTCCAAGCTCCTAGTTATCACAAAGCATAGCCTTCTCGCTTGATCCACAAACACCAAAGACAATTTTCGTGTCCGCACTGGCGACAAAAGCGTCCAGAGGGATCGTCTCCTCTTACTCCCTTCTCACAGACACAGCAAAACATCAGGCTTGTAGCGCGCATTCGAGGATGTCGACGAACAAGTATATTTCCTAGGGCTGTTCTTCCGCGGTACATCTCCTGGAAACCAGGTTAGTATTTGCGAATTCTTGCCAGGCTGTTCTGCCTTACCTGTTCATATGACGAGATTTGACTTGGATGCATCGTTTCTCTCCCTGCTTATTGCCTGGGCTTCCCCTTTATCAATATAAATTCTCACTTCAAGGACCTTTTGGTGCCATTGGCGGAGGGCTTAATGAAAATATGAAAGCGAGTAGCGAGCTTCCGTAGCTTCCCTTCGAATTAGGTAGGAGAGAAGAGACACAATGATGAATGTTGACCAACAGCACAATATAGCTAGGGCAAGCGGCAAACTCGGGACAGAATTTGCTATGGCTTACAATCCTCGAAATGCAGGTCCATCATAAACTTGGCTCTTTATATAAAATTGGATTATGCGAGACACTGTATACTTCCAAGTGAATAGCCATGCAGCACGTTGTCCTTCTCCCAAAAAAGGAGCGAGTACTTTTAGCGACTCGGTACATGACATTTACCAATGCAATCTGGGTTTGATTATTGCTCAGACGGACAAATCAAAAGTGCATCGCTTGGTTCCATCCTAAGAATCTTCCAGGCTGACTTTGGTACCATATTTCGGGCGTTATCAAGATTGAGATGGAGTATAGATCGATCGATTGGTTCGAGATTTCCAGCCCGGACTTCGATCGGACAGGAGATAAAATGAATCGTCCGAGGGCGTTTTCGTAGACGAGCTGAAAATAACAGGTATGGCCCATACTCGTTGATGATGAGTCCGTGGTAGGCTTCGAAAAAAGGATATACCGAAATCAATCTCGGCTTTGACCACGCTTAAAACTTCCTTCTTGTCTTGTAAGGATGTTTGAATCATTGGGTCGATATTTGTAGAGCCGGGCACGATTGTGTCTGTAGGTTCGCTTCTTGACATGGTTCTGGTGGTTGGCCAAGGGAGGCAGGACTTCCAGATTGCAAACAAGCTGAAGCAAATCATATTCGATGGTCGACTAAAGATTACTGAATCACGATAGAATTGACGCCATTGATTCATTTCTTGGCAATATGCGGTGATCACAGATGACGCTGGCTTTAATATTCACCTGGTTTTCTGGCAAATGGTCCTCACAATCCAGCTTTCAGCCACGGAAGAAGCTCTACATTATCCGAACCCAGGCACGTTGAAGTTTTCTTGGTAATGAGTTCGCAGATACTATTTTAGCTTCCATGACATTGTGTGTGGTTCATTGCGCTGAAATGACTTTTACACGACCACAAACAGCACTATAAACCCAGGGGTTTGCGTAAAGGAGATGGCATAATCTTTGAATCGAGAGAGACATGATTCGTACATACGTAGTGTATAGAGTCACGCTATACAATACCAACGTCGGAGATGGAGGAAAGAGGGGAGCAGAGGGGAAGCAGCCGGGTTGCCTCGCTCACCCCTTCCGGATTATGGAAGGAATGTCTGCATCAACATTATTCCGGTTCGGGCCGACACTGGGTCATCTCTGAAGCGCACCAGGTAATTCTGGAGCATCGCAGCAGCGTATTTGTCCGGCTTGACTTTGAGAGCGGACGAATCCGACAAACACTACCACCCAGTGACCAGTTTGAGGAGGCTAGATACAAAGAAAAATATTTTTCCAGAGTGAGGATTGACAACAAAGGCTGATCTGAAGGCTTCACAATACTTCTTTTAACAGAGGGATGTATGAATGTATAGTCACTTGGTGCGTGCTGTCCGTGGGTTTACCCACTAGCCCTGCGCGGATGCGCTCTTGATTGACACTTGGGTCGCGGATTAGACACAATGAATATAGATGGCACGGCTAGTACGAACGTATTCTGAGGAAGCTTTTCGTCACGGAGGCAGAGTTTATAGGCTCTCGGGAGGAGTATGGGCGACCGCGATAATACTTTATGGAGGGCAGATTATGACCAGGAAAGGAGCAGGTACGATGGCAGTGCACTAGATTCTCGTGGTCATCAAGCTGTCTCCTTCCCCAGGCTCTTGGTGGCGTAGGGATCTAAGCCTATTCAGAATAGGCTTTCTTTCGAGAGAAGGCCTATGGAGAAGGCCTGAAGTATGCTTCAACCTAAATTAAGATTCCACTATGTCCAATCTTCCCTTCCTGACCTGTAATGGTAGTGAGATATCCATTAAAGCAGCGGCTGGGCAACATCAACTTCCCAATTCGAGTGATTGAGCAAGGGGCGACAAGGGTACGAGAAAATGCCTGTAATATCACGTGGCTCGGCTCTGAAACTCACTTCTGTACGAATGCCACTCGTCCGATAAATTCAATCCCAAATCCTTCTTCAGATTTTGCCCTTCCAACTTTATCACAAACCGTCATTTTATAATGAATCAAGAAGATACATGCAGCTTGATTGCGAGCCAAATTCAAGATACCATGAACCAATTCTTCCAAACCACCATACCGACATGTTTCCGACTAGTTGGTGATACACCTACAGCGATCCTCGAGTCCGAGGACTTTCTAACGTCAATATTGCCCTTCGTCACAAAGGTCCAAGAGTCCGTGAATCGTTGCCGCCCAAATGCAAAGACTCGCTTCTTAGCATTGAGAATAATCAGTCGTCACTCTTACTTCGTTGTGGACGTCAACAATGTCGATTATGACTATGAGACTGCTCACGAAGTCACTACTGCAATCCCTGTCTATGTTCTTCGGCTGTCTAGACATGTCAAGATTGCTAGAAAGCCCACAGAAGACGACAATCTGGCTAAGATTCTAGCCGCAATGCATCAAGGGCATGGCAACGATCCGCTACCGTTAGTCGACGATTACACCAAGCCTGTCGTGTACGACAAGCCGCGCGGTCTTCGCCCTTGACATAGCATTAGCTCCTCCCTTTTCTAGTCCACGGTTAAGATATCGGTGAGCAGGTAGGTCCTGAAGAACCCATTTGACAACCATATCCTAAATTATAACAGACACCGTCTATCCCAGGGAACTATACTCCCTATCGCCGAGCGAAGAGAGATACTTGTGGTTGTTCCTCATCTTCGACATCTTATTGTCCATTTTGTGCATTTTAGGCATGTGACTGCCCCAGTATCTTTGACATGGCAGGAGGATGAAAGCTCGCTGTATACAGATCTCGTCAAGAGTACTTGGATGGTAGAGATGCGGCGTGGCGAGTCGATAAAAGCATGCAGAAACGACAGTTTAATCTTTTAGCTCAACCCAATGTAACCCCAAACAAGCAGGGGCGGAATGACAAATGAGCTTACAAGCCGATTTTTGAGGGGCCATCAACGTGTAAGGAGACGTAGAGCTCGCTACCTACTGGTACCGAGTGCTACAGTATTTGTGGCTTCGATACCTGTTTTCTCTGAGAATCCATTAGGAAATCTCGTGTCTATTTCGAAAGAGCGTCTTCAGCGGCCACCATGGAATTTAGGTTCGCGTGTCGTTGAGCAGATCATCAGTAGAGTGCCTAGAACGAAATAGAAGGGGACCAGCGATTCCGGACCGGATACCGCGTTTATCATCCTCTTTTCATGTTGCTAAACTGGTGTTAGGAATGGGGATACACTGTTTGGCATTTCCCCAGTAACCGTTCAGTTGGCAATCCGGAGGGCAATATGTTGATCGTGTCTCTCTCGGATAATTCGAGTATAACACCTGTCGGCCGACTGACAGATTCCCTCACGAAGATTACGCATACAGCACCGGTGATAGGCTCGGGATCAACTGTGATTGTTTTTCTGCATTATCCTAAAGCATGACATACTTGCTCTAGTTCCTCAAATAATAACGTGACCATAAACAATTCGAAACCAGCCCTCAGGAGCTGACAGCCGGAAAGTACATTTTCATTAATCGGAAAAATCACAGGGTATCTCTGTTGGGCCCTCGTCCTAGATATTGACTGGTACTGATGCAA